GATTGTTCGCATTTCAGTGAATAGTCGACTATGCGAAGCTCGTTTAACAATATCAACTTTGCTGAGCGCATAGAGTAGCGTTAGTCGCTACTTTTTCGTGACGGCCGCCTGTGTTTCAGCTGACTGCAAACATAACAGTGTCAAAGACGCTTTTAATTGGAAACCTGGTAAAGCCAGTGTCAACTGCTGCCAGCTCGGATATATTTCTGGCTTCAGATACGAATGCACAACTAAATTGCCTAGGACTGTAGTGTACCGGAAAACCAGCTCTCTCGGTATTTTGGAACTTCGGACTTTGCTGTTGTTTTAACCTTCGAAATGCCCACTCGTTTCACTGACGGCACTTCTGTTGACACAAATTGTTTTATAGTACTCATTAGTAGCAGGATTTTAGTTGTAAATCTGATAAGGCTTTCATCCCAACAGTTCACAAGCTACATAGCAGAGCCTAGTCCGGAAAAGCGCCAGACGCGTTTCGCCCTATTGGGGCTCGTCAGTACTGAGTACTATAATATCAAAAGCCTCTCCTAGTTTCAAATGCTATAGATATAGCGTCTAATGAGAGGACGTCATCACCTTGCAGGCTAACCACTGTCGGTGACAGTGGTAGATAAGTGCTGCTATATCCCAGCTAGTTTGCAAATTATGTAGCCCAGCCAATGTCCCCCATGGCTCAGTGGCTTAAGCTGCTGGCTAGTTGGCATCTGCCTCTAGCGGTCATGGGTTCGATCCCCAGTGGGGGACCGATGGAATGCACACCACTGACGAGCCCCAGTAGGGCGAAACGCGTCTGGCGCTTTTCCGGACTAGGCTCTGCTATGTAGCTTGTGAACTGTTGGGATGAAAGCCTTATCAGATTTACAAATTGTTTTTGCGAGTATTTTGCTGCACTGTTTCTCGCTCTGGTTGATTCGCTTCCTATTTTTGTAGCCTGCGCAATACATGTCGCCTCTAACTTCTATACTGTCCCGTATTTGACATGTCTCTTGTGTGTCATTGATTAACGACTAGTATCCCACGCGCCACCCAACAGGACTATTACAAGCTCGGTTAAGTGAAAAATTCGGACTAGACTCCAAACATAGGAACAGCTACCAGTGCTTATAAAAACGATGTGCCGATCGGTTATTTCTACGTACAAATAGATCCAGACGCAGTGAAGGTCGATGTGTTACTTGGTGCTTTGCAGAAGCTTGCCAGCGATAGATTCAACCAAGCCATATCGTCAAACGATACAAGTGGCATGGTTCCGTCTTAGACGGCTGCTCATCGTTGTATAAGCGTGGAGTTCTATGTCTCAATGTGCGCGGCAAATTTTCCCCAAACTAGACCAGGAAAAGCAATAAGCAATTCTCTTAAACGGCGACCGAGGAACTGCCTCACGTTCGCTCGATAAGCTAAACTGGACAGTAGTTGATATCCATGTATCTGCTGTAGGATAAGATTTCTTCAGCCGTTCACGGTACTGGATCTTATACCCACAGCATCATATATCCTAAGACTACTATGAGCTGAATTTCTGCGACGTGGGTGAAGTTGTTGTGATTCAAAAGTCCCTATTGGTACCGGTAAGCGCGGTCAAACAAGCTGTCAGATGTGGGGGAGAATAGAGCTAGGTGGACGCATAGCGGTCAGTAAATGGAGGACGCAAGACTGGTACCGGAGAACGATCTCTTATTGGGGCCATTGATGACAGCACCAATGTTATTAGGCTCATTTAGCTGATCAGTTTCAGAAGCCATTTGGTTAGATCCATCTCTTTCACGTTTACCGTTCCAGTAGCTCTTCTACAGTCGCAACCAGTCTAATTAGCTTAATCACAAGCCTTCGAACAATACACCGCTAACGATTCAGATTCCTATGTGCCATCGGCATTCATGAGAGATGCTGAGGCCCCCTGCAATGTAAGTGTTGCACGAAAATTAGAGGACCAAAACAGATCCCGGTAAATTCTCAAAATATGCTATCCCTAAAGTGTATAATTATTTATAATGTGTAAATATTTGAAACGCTACACATTCGCGGTGGTTTCGCCCTTATCATTTTCCTTTACCTCACCTTAAACCACTGTCGATGTTCTGTGTTCCAAACGCGCTGCTTATCCGACGTGCTCTGTCCAACCTACTCTGCGTACGGCCATGTCAAACTCCCATCTATCTCGTGTGGCTGTGATCACATGCTGTCCGCTTGTTATTGCTCGCGACGATCCGTCTCCATTGCTCATAAGCAGGCTGCGCTTCGTTTATTTTAGACTGAGCCACGTTCACCTTATAATCAGACCAGTGCGATCGTAGTCGGTTTGTGTTGGCAGCGATTGATTAGCCTAGTTTCCGCCCGTGGCGTCAGTCACATTCATCCAAACGGCCAGATACCCCAAATAAATACAAGGTCAGGCTTACGAAATGGGGTGAATGTACTATGGTGGCAAGTTTGATTAAGGGTAGCTGCGATGTTTGTAAACTAGACAGTATTAACTCGATGCCCAAATGAAGCGGCTTCTGACGTTTGGTACTCGGACTGCCTCGTACATGATGCTACATTATTGGCCCGGTAAGCTTGGTTATAACACAGGGTAGGGTAATTCGCAAGGGAATCGTTCTGATGAAGCCATCCTATCTTCACACAATAACCAGCTGTTTATGGACATATAACTATTATTCTGCAGCCATATGAATCCTGGTTTTTACTTAAATTAATTTTTCCACAACTTGAGTCTCCATTCTGCCACTTTCTATTCCTTATTGGCAAAGCCATTGTAAATGTGTGATAGTGGAAAGAACTGATGTTGATACAACCAGCCCATAACATGGCATACAGAATACAGAAGCAAATATTTGTAGCCCAGATTGTGAGACTGAGGGTCGGAGCGTTCGTTGCGCTGAGCAGTTTTGCTGTAAACGTTTCATCACCATCCAAGGTGACATCAACAGTGCGCCATTGGGTGGCAGAGCGGTGCACTGCGAATCCTTTGTGAGTATGCGTCGGGAAGTCACATTGTGGTG